AAAAATTCTTTCGCAAGGTGCTCAATATTGTTGGTCTTACAGCGAGTGAGGTAAATGAGTCGACCGCTGCAAGAACGATTTTATCTCACACTGACCAAAATATCGATGTTGTTGTTGTTGACTTTTTGAAAGAGATATCTACCAATTTCCATGTTTGTTATCAAAATGTTGAAGAGATCAAGTGTTTAAACAAGAAAATGACCAATCTTGAAACGAGTTTTACGACTTTACGCAATAGTTGTTCAATGCAAAATAAATGGACTTTAGTGTTAAATTCCTGCGACTTGCAATCATCTGATGGGACAAACATTCTTTTAAATCATGTTTTACAGCATTTTTGGAGTTCAGTAGTTTTAAATGGTTCTTGTGAGTTGAGTGAGGACAGTGAACTTTCCAATTTGTCTGCAAGATCGTCCAGTTCTACTTATTAGGGAGCTTTAGATTTGACTACGAGTACGACTACGAGTACGAGATTTGATCGCGTGCGAGGAAGTCACCGTAGTCACAGAGTAAGGATATACAGAGGCGGAACTCGAGGCAAATCATGTCACCACTTTTTTAATGCGCATGCGCGACCCTCTGGCAAGTGTCATGCACATTTTTTATCAGGAAATAGATAGGAAAATGCAAAATTTTGGCAATAAAACGGCGATTTTAAGCGCAGTAACCGATCAATCTTCATTTTCTGCACGAATTTTGCAAATAAATGGCACACTGCGTCTTCTTAGCGAAAGGGAATTGAACGAATACCATTTTTAACGGCGAAAATGAGAAAAGACACCCGAAGGAGTGAGAATTTCTGGCAATCTGAAGATTAGATTCTGTAGACCTGAACTCCAGCTGGAACTTGGCAACTTTATATGTGAGTTTTTTTTTTCTCTAGCTCATATATATGAAATTATCAATATATTTTTGTGAAGTGCTATGTTGTATGAAAGGGTTGTCGTTAATTTAAACATTGCATAAACAGCATTCAGATACGAAAAATATGAACATCAACATAACAACATTCAACATGGACTGATGGACTTGGACATGGAGCCACAGTACTCTAAAGTTCTCATATAGACTTTATTTAACTTATATGTTGACCCAATGGTGAGGGATTGGTCAAATTATACTTTATAGTGATTCCCCTAGACTAGTGCATTGGTTATTGTGCAATGACAACCTTTTTTTTGGCTCTCAAAGGTCAATAATTTCTCAAACATGCCAAGCCTGTACATGTTTAATATTAAATCTAATCTGTTTATTTTTTATTTTGCTTTTCTAGATTGCCAACCATTCCTGTTGAACTACATTGTTCATTACAATGAATCAGATGCAGATTCTTACAACTATGTTAATTTGTTCTTCTGATTGGGGAAAACCTGAGACTATTTGATCTTATATTGAAATGCCTACCAATTTTACATAGCCCCAGGCAATGTTTAATATATAATTAATCTTGAGTAATAGAGATGCTGTACCCCCTGACGGAGTGACCTTACTACCTGGATCATCCCACTAGGCAAGACAAGTTCAAAACTTTCCATCCAAACACTTGCATGGCAGTTGCTATAATAGGATATGAATATAGTTTTGCCTTGCCAGGGTGGTTCGGGGGGGGGGTAAGATTTCCCCAGTACCCGGAGACCATATAGACAGGCCGTCGGATTACTGTAATATTTTATTATTATTATTATTTAAAAATATTTTAAAACGGTAACCCTTCAGGGCTCAAATATACACCTGCTTTTCAAGGGGCCGTTTACATGCATCACACTAATAAAATTTCCTAATTTTAATTGATGTTCAAAAAAGCAGCCCCCCCCCCCAAAGTGGTAGGCCTGCTCCCCAAATCCAGCCCCCCTTGGAAGATGTACTGTTAAAGCTAGTTAACCCAACTTTATTATTCTGTCTAACACCGGGCGATCCAGTTAACCCATTGAGTTGCATTGCATGTGCCCTGATGCACCCTACTTTATTATTTTACTCTGTCTAACGCCAGACGATTTTACTCGTCAAGGGGTGGGCACACTTTAACAGGCAAAGTATTAATTGGGAATACTTTCTCTTTTAATGGGAAACTCTTTATCAATAAAAGGAACAATGCAATTATTCATAGTATTTAATTTTTCATATAAAGCAAAGACTGTAAGAGGAAACATGGATCATTGGCTACTTTTTTATTTAGTATTAATTTTCATGACAACATGTGGGGTCAACTATAAAGGAAACAGTTATTGCCTATTTTGGAATAAAAAATTTAGAATATAGCAATATTCATTGACATTGAACACATATTTAATTTATTTAGTTTTTGAATAATTTAAGTTCTTAAATGTATATAAATATGAAATAAAATAAACAACATTTATTAAAATAAACTTTGTATTTTTAAACCCCAATTACACTGTTCCATTTACATTTCACTGTTGTAGTATTTACACTGTAAGTAGTAATTACACTGTAGTATTTACATTTCAAGACCTTATAAACCAACATCATTCCTTGGAGTTTCTCAACCAAGATCCTCTGGAGAACTTCTTTGGCCTCATTAGGCAGCAGGGGGGGGGGGGATTGTGACAACCAACTAGTTCCATCCAGTTCACCAGAGCATTTTGAATATTATTTGTAGATAATATTTTGACACCACTTTCAATTGGCACCTGTGATGAAGATTCTGATGCCTATTTGATTGCATTTCACCCAAGCCAATCTGATTTATCTGCAGGAAATGATCAGACAAGCCCACCACTAATCCAAGCAGTTGAAGATACCGACTACAAAACAAATGAAATTGAACAAAACTTAGTCTACATGAACTTATGTGTCAGGCTATTTATTAAGGAAGTGCCTTATCCAACATAGCTGTCCAATATGCCATCATAATTTTGTGACAAAGGATGTCAATGACAGTAGTCTCTGCTATTCTGCATGTGAAAGACCTCTGACCTTTGAAGGCATAAGCATGCCTTCAAATGCGGATTAACAATCCGTAAAGAAACGTTTCTTTGCTGGAGAATATATTTGTGAATGTGGTTATTAGTTGCACAGAAGGTATTAAAAGCATAGGTAGTTTAACTATTAATTTTTGCTCACAAATCGCAAAGCTACATGCATGGAACCTGATGGACGTGTTTCAAATCAGCACCTATGATTTCTTATTAATGTAAAAGACAGGAAAGCAATACGTTTGGCCCGCATTAATTTAGCGAAATGGGAATCTGCTTCTTGGCAAGAACATCACAAGCACCGAGATTGTAAATTGTATTATATTTTTTTTCTTTGTATTTAGCCTATAAACGTATATCTTTTTACATAAAAATAACCACTTACCATTTATCTTTCAAATTTGAGTCCCAAAATGAAGATTGGTTGAGCAACTTCGCAAAAATATTTATTTTTCTACTTTCGAACGGTGTTTTTCCTATGCTTTTGACTGAAAACACGACGGATGACACTTGCCAGAGCAATTTGCGTGGCGCGTGGAAATGACGTGGCACGGGGACACAAAGAACAAAGGAATCGCCGCGAGTTCCGCCTCTGTATACTCTGTGCCGTAGTCGTTCTCGTTTCCATTCAAATGTTTTTTTTATAACAGTTAATCAACAACGAGAGAAAAAGTTTCATAAACTAAATCTCCTGCTGACTAAAATCCCCTGCAAAACGTGCAAATAAGTCATAACATTAAAAACAGGCCAGATATTTAGTACTAATATACTATTTGCGCCGGATAAACGCTATATAAATGCTACAAATTATTTTTGGACAACAAAAAAAGCCAACTTTCTTTGTTTTTTTTTTAAAGTCGTCGTGAGGACTACGAGGTTTCTCCACAATTTCGTACTCAGATGGGCGACGGATACGACTTTTTAGCGTCAGTACGGGATGGCGTAAGCATACAGCATGCGTTTAGCTTGACGAATCTCGTACTCGTAGTCGTACTCGTAGTCAAATCTAAAGCTCCCTATTGTGATGATGAACTTGAAAATATTGAAGCAGAGTCTATTTAGGAACATGCTGGTTGGGTTTTTAAGCGGGCAAGAGATTTATTTAAGGATGGACCTGAAGTACACAAAATTCAGTTATCAAAAACAAACAATGTTCAGGTAGAAGTTAATAAGCATTTTATACTGTCTTTAATTCAACGTTTGGGGCAGGATGAGTTGGCTCAACCTGGAAGATTTTTATTCAATCCAATTCCACAAGTCTTGGAAGTGTTTATATATCTTCACAATATGGTTGAAAAAATTGTTAAAAATGAACTTGGCAATTGTGCTGACAAAGACATTCTAAAGAAATGTTTGAAGTTTTTAAGTGAAGATCCAAACCTACGTAAAATGTGGCAAAAATTACTTGGGAGTAAGGATAATGACACTTTTCGTGCTGGTTCTGTGATATTATTACAACGAATTGTCACAATGTTTTTGAAGTCAAAGCAGCAAATCATCAGAGAACAGCTACAACTGAAGGCTAATAAACAAAGCTCATCATTGCGACAAACTGTATGTAAAGGACAAAAGCCAAAGGAAAAATTGTGTAAACCTATTGAATGTCTTGTAGCATTTCGTGGAAGTCCGACAGATGCTTCTACAGTACTGGCATTTTTGAATGATGTTTTTCTTAAATCTGAACCATCTACCATACTTAGCAAATTACATGGAAATGAACTTACTGCAATATTACAGTCATTGGGCTTGCCAGGGTTGAATGGGAAGGGGAAGAATCGCCAAATTGAGTTATTAGTCAAACATCATGCCAGTGGCAAAAATTGGAACATTCTCTTCCCTGAAAAGGTTAGTGATTATTATTGAAAACTAAAATTATAATAATATTAGATTCACGGTTGCTAAGCTGGGGGGTCATATAATAATATCGTAAACCTCCGACTATAAGCCCCCCATGTATAAGCCCACCACATGTACTAACGCTCACCTCATTCCAAATATAAGCCCCCCCCCCGAATATAAGCCCACCCGAATATAAGCCCCCGAATATAAGTCCCCAATTAATATAAGCCCAGTAATCGCTGTTTTAAATACACGTTTATTTCCCTGTTTATGACCGACTTGTTTATGTCTGACTTGTTTATTACTAACACAAAAGATCATCCATGTATAAGCCCACCCGTATATAAGCCCC